GCTGAGGGCTTTGTCAAGGCCACCACAGTGGGCCAGATGGGCTGGTTCTTCCTCATGGCTGTGATGTACATCACTGGAGCTGGCCTTTATGCTGCTCGAATTCCTGAGCGCTTCTTTCCTGGAAAATTTGACATATGGGTAAGACACAATTCTTCCAGCAGGGCCTATGATGGTTGAGTGACCAGCCCAAAATTAAAGATCTGAGTAAAAGGTGGTAAGAAAGCTGGATCATGTAGTAGTGTTTAGGGGTACACATATGTACAACTGGGGAAAAGTAGCCAGTACTAACATTTGGGTGTATCTCTGTGTTTTAAAACATAGAAGACTGTTTTAAAATATTTCTGTAGGCTCAGTGCCCATAGCTCAGCAGTTAGGGCACCAGCCACATACACCAGGGCTGGCAGGTTCAATTCCGGTCTGGGCCTGCTAAACAACAATGACAATTACAACAACAACAAAAACAGCCAGGTGTTGTGGTGGACACCTATAGTCCCAGCTACTTGGGAGGCTAAGGCAAGAGAATCACTTAAGTCCAAGGGTTGGAGGTTGCTGTGAGCTGTATCGACATAGCACTCTACCGAGGGTAACATAGTAAGATACTGTCTCAAAAAAAAATAAAATATTTTTGGAACAAATATATCATTTTTATGATATTAAAAAATTATTCAGGCTTGGCGCCCATAGCTCAATGAGTAGGGCGCCAGCCACATACACCAAAGCTAGTAGGTTTGAGCCCCACCCTGGCCTACTAAACCACAATGACAACTGCAACCAAAAAATAGCCATGTGTTGTCGCAAAAGCCTGTAGTCCCAGCTACTTGGGAGGCTGAGGCAAGAGAATCACTTAAGCCCAAGAGTTTGAGGTTGCTGTGAGCTGTGATGACCCAGCACTCTATTGAGAGTGACATAGTGAGACTCTGTCTCAAAAAAAAAAAAAATTGTTTAAAGAGCAGCTAGAAGAGGTGAATGATTTTTCCTACTTATTTCTAATTCCTCCTTACCTAAAAGGCTCTTCTCTTTTTATTCCTGCAGTTCCAGTCTCATCAGATTTTCCATGTCCTGGTGGTAGCAGCAGCCTTTGTACACTTCTATGGAGTCTCCAACCTTCAGGAATTCCGTTATGGCCTGGAAGGTGGCTGTACTGATGACTCCCTTCTCTGAGCCTTCCCACCTGAGGGGTGGAGGAGGAACTTCCCAAGTGCTTTTAAAAATAACTTCTTTGCTGAAGTGAGAGGAAGAGTCTGAGTTGTCTGTTTCTAGAAGAAACCTGTTAGAGAATTCAGTACCAACCAAGCTTCAGCCCACTTTCACACCCACTGGGCAATAAACTTAACATTTCCACTTCCCTAGCTGGGAAGGGTGGGGATGGTCAAACTTAGCCATCCCCCTCCTCAGCAAGATAACTACCGGCCCCTGACAGAGACAGTACTTTGAAACTCATGTTGAGATTTTAGCCCCCCCTTCACTGGTTTGGGAAAAAATAATGGACTGGGACTCTTCAGAAATTCTGGGTTTTTTCTGGAAGAAAATGTCCTTCTCTTATCCCCTTCCTTACTTTGTAACCTGGCTTATAACAGGCCATCCATTTTGTAGCACACTTTTCAAAAACAATTATAGAACCTGGTCCCATCTTTCTAGGGCCTGGATCTGCTTACACAGCAGGAAGAATAAAGCCACCAACTTTTACATAGCCCGGCTAATCATGGAAGTGTGTCCAGGCTTAAAATAACTTGAGTTTTAATTTTTTTTTTTCTTGGCAGAGTAATGTAAAATTAAAGTGGGGAAAGATATTTAATATTTAATACTAAGCTTTAAAAAGAAACATGCTATCATTGCTATGTATCTTGATGCAAAGACTATGATGATAATAAAAGAAAGTACAGAAGACACTTGGCATTCAAAGACTTAACATGTATGGTCTCAGTTATTTGAATACAACTCCAAAGGATTAAGACCTATCATAATTTCAGATTCTGCTGAGGAACAAATTTGAATTGTAGGTATGGGCAGGCTAATGAGTGAACCTAATTGAATACTTAGCGTCTGCTCCTCAGTACAGCTTTTTTTTTTCTTTTTATTGCATAGACCAATTAGAGAAATCAATTATGCTTAGTAGTGTTTAATAATTAGGGGATTCTCATAGGTATTAGGGTATATTCCAGACTGTAGGGATATATCCCACCTTGCCCAGGGTTGTCTCATTGAGGGGTCATTCCATGCCATTATGTACCTTTGTAAACTGTACTCAACCTGACAGCTCTGTCCACTGATAGCCTAAGAAGGTAGTAGTCATTCTCAGCTAATCTAGGCAAAGGGGAGTCTTTTTGAGTTATAAAGTTATGTTAACTTGCTGGGTGTGGTGACTCACGCCTCTAATCCCAGCACTTGGGAGGCTGAGGCAAGTGGATTGCCTGAGCTCATGAGTTCAAGACCAGACTGAGGGCTTGGCGCCTGTGGCTCAAGTGGCTAAGGCACCAGCCACATACACCTAAGGTGGCGGGTTCGAATCCCCAGCCCGGGCCCGCCAAACA